GTTTTTTTTTTTGACTTTTCTTTTCGGTACTTTTTTTCTGAATAAGCGGTAAAAAGGTTCTTTTTGTGTCTTCTATACGTTCCTTAATTTCCATATCTACTGCATTAGTGTGTTTGACAAGAAAAAAAGCTGTTTTTTTTTTCAACAACTGAGGTAATTGAACAGCATTTGAGGACAAGGACAAGAACCAGTGCGCTGGGAAAAAACAGCAGCTATTAGGCTGATAACCGTCAACTTATTCGGTTTGCTGTTTCTTCTTTTATCAGTTGATCTTAGTTTAGGTTATTTTACCTATGCAAATAATACTATTGGTGGAAAAAAAATTATCTTTTAATTTTATGCAGCAAAGAATTTTTCCTCATCTTGTTTTGTTTTTATTAACGACAACAAAAACGGCAATACCCAATACCCAATAGACCGATAGTATTAATACAAACAATACTAAAGTACGGTGTGAAAAATCTAAACAATGTTGAAATAAACGTGACTAAAACTAATATTTATAATGGAAAACTGTGGTACATTTGTCTCCTTCTTTCTCTTTCCACCATTTATTTTCTTCTTACAGCATCTACTTGCAAAATGGCATTAAATTTTTCAAAGGTTTTTTCAAGTCTCAAATTCATAATGAAACAGTGAATACAAGCTTAATTCTACCACCGAATTACTTTTAGATTATGGCAAAGAAAAGAGGAACAAAGAAAAAGGGAAAACTATTTGGGGGGGAGCAGCGCAGATTTAACTGTTTAGCCGAAGTTTTTGTCCACTGTGAATTAAGCTGACTGTCAGACTCAAAATGATCTTTCCAGAAATGTTGTAATTCCTATTTACAGACAGTAAATTTCAAGTGTTATAGATTGTTAACTAGTAAAAATTAGGTCTAATTTAAGTGACAGTGGCTGCCAAATTTTGACAGTATTTGGAAGGTATCGAACCATCAACAAAAAATCATTAATTCATGTAACACGTTTTTTTCTTATAAGCCTAAAAAATACCGCAAAGGGTTTGATTTTTCTGTCCCTAAAGTTTTATCTTTTGCTTAGTTGTTGCCGTTATTTAGGAATTAAAAAAAAAAGACAGCAGAGGAATTGTTGTAAAGCTTTAAGAAATTTGATTCAGATTTTTATATGCTTTGATGCCAATGCTAGTAGTTTTTTTCCTCCTGTTTTTACACTGGTTTGATACTGGTGCTGTGGTTAAACTCGTCAGCAGATTGGATACATAAAAAGATATGTGGTTGCTGAACGTTTAAGTACAAAGAATTGATACATCATTGTCTGCTGCACACACGGAAACACATTTTTAAATGTCGAAGCAAAAAAATAAATAAATTTTTATCGTCTTCTTTTTTTTTATTTCAACCATTTTTTCAGATTTGTTAATTACATTATTTAAAGGTAATATTTTGTAAGGAAATCTACCTATTAAAATGGCTGGTTTATTTTACAATGAAATTTAGTATTTGATTATAACCATCTTTAATTTATAAGCCTAAACTAAATCAGTGTTATTAACCAAAAAAAATTTCTTTTTTTGAATAGACAATTAAACAACGAAAAGAAAAAAAAGAAGTTTGATATTAATACTGAAGCAAAGAAAAATAGAAATTAACTGTCATATCTTAAATTTTGTTTCTTTTTTTATTGCCTTTTTTAACTTTGCTGTATTCATTTTTGTCTATAAGATTCTGCTTAATAAAGCTTAAATGATCAAATTTTCCAAACTTTTTTTTTTATCTGTCCAATCTTATTTTAATAATCTTAATTATGCACTGTCAAACTGTAACCAACCGAGGCAATAATGCTGTTGTACAATGGATACAAATTCTAAACAAAAGAATGGTGTAAAGTTGAATAAGAAAGCAGTGATCACATCAACAAATCTGAGGAGGAATCAAAGATGTTGTCGTTGTTGTTGTTGTTGTTGAATTAAGGGTTCTTGTAGATGAACAGTTAAAGAAGTGATTCTTGACTGTTCATTACCGATTGAATCATCTGCCAAAAGTCTGGTCAACATTCACTAAGCTAGATGTTAGTCATTAAGTGTACCCAGACGACCTGATCTATTAGTAACAATTGTTGCTTAGGTGACAGGCAGCCCAGGTTGACGTTGTTCAAGTTTATTTGTCAAGCTGATCACTTAATCGAGAAACTATTGAAAGCTGT